GAAAAATTCAAACAGAAAGCTATGTACTGAATTACCTGACAAGTAAGTAGTTATTCAGTTGTTGTGTTAAGATGCAATTCTAAAGAGGTGGATACAGTTTTTTTCAAAGGCTCTGTTCTGTACATCAGACAGTTGTTTTTTAAGGGGCAGGGAAATTCTTGGAGTTGATCTACAAACAAGGAATATAGGAGAAACAACCTATTTACTCAAATCTAATTTGACTCTGAATTTAAGACAACCCCATAATAATTAGATTCTATATATGGAAAACTTTTATAAATTTGTTATAATTTTCTGGGTAAAGAATCTAATTTTTGGTGGGTTGTCTTGAATTTGTTCCCTTCCTATTGCTACATCAGAGAAAATTGGAGTGGAGCGGGGCAGGTAGCCCTTTTGCCCTGCCACTGGCACCCCCTCCACCCCGAGCTCTCCCTGTCCCCTAGTCTTTGCCTCTTTCCCCCATTTCCTTTTTACTGTCAGACGCTGCTTGGTTTCTGTTCCCTCCTGGAGCGCAGCATGGAGGAAGCTCATCCCTTGCCAGGCCATATTGCAATGTCAGCGCTGCTGACTGGCTGGACAAGGGACAGTTTCCATGTGCTTTGTGCCTTGGAGGGGACACAGCCCGGGCTGGAGCTAAGCTGAACCTGATTGTAGAGGGACGGAAGGACGTTGGGGGGCGGAGTGGGAGGGAGTGGAGCAGAAGCTGTAGAGGACAAGTGGAGAGTGGGTAGGAGGCTGCTGCTGTTGGTCTGAGTCTGGCCCTGATCCAGGCCCACAGCCAGTATCGGAGCCATAGCAGCTGCCTGCCCCCCCTCCATGATGAGGAGGAATCTAAGATGAGGGGCTTTTTTCCCCCCAGGCTGATTTGAGGGTGGGTGGGAAGGGACCTCATCTTAGATTAGAGTAAATACAGAATCTGCTTTAAAACTATATAGGATTCCTCAAACAGAGCGAGACATTCGTTGACTACTGTGCAAGTTTATGTCCGTGTCTGCAATCTGATCTCTAATACTGAAGACTCTTATCTCTGAACCTAAAGGGAGAATTTTATGTCATGCAGAGGTTTGAGTATGCCATTAGGGAAGTAAAGATTTCAGTCTGTTTTTAAAAAGAAAGAAACCAACCCAAAACTTTATATAGAAGTTGCTGAATGGCATTGCTAAAAAGTGGAAGAGATGACTGTTTGTGAAAGCAATAGTGTGGTAACAGCTTGATTGTAAGACGGTAGCCATGTTACCCTCTTGGAAGTTTCTGTTTAGCCTGACAAGTTCTTAAATGTCTTGGAAATAATTAGC